AAGTAGACTGTTATGGTCGTTCAAACTTTGGCATTTTTTTCGGTTTTTACTGAATTTATGACAATATTGATTTAATACTTTATTTTGAATATGCAATTGATTTTTAATCAATAAAGACATGTTAAATTAATTTATCAATAATAAATAAATATTATATGAACATGTATAGTTTTTATTTTTTTTTAACAAATTAACAAATATTAATTTACAAAAATTTCTATTTGTTCAACTAAAATATACGTATTGTCAATTGTGACAATGCTCAACAAACAGAGGTATCAGAGGACGATGTTCTTCAAGAAGTCGACGCAGAAATTGATATGCAGTTTGATTAATGAAGAAATATGAAAATTAAAATTATGAAATGTAAAAAATTTAATTTAAGTTTAATAAAATTTTTTCTACAAAAAACTAATTTTATTATTTAAAATCTTTGCATTATGTATTTTTTATATTCACAAAAAAGCAATTTTTAAGAAAAAGTAAATTAATTTATCATACGTCTTTATTAAATAAAAATGAATTACATGTACTCAAAAATAAGTATTAAAACAATATTGTCATAAATTCAGTACAAATCGAAAAAAAGGCAAAGTTTGAACGACCATAACTCAGTCTATTTTTATCGAAAAAACTTTTATAACCAATCATTTTATAGGAAATTTTATATACTTTTTCTTCTATGAAGCAATGCCTATACCTATCTCCGCTCAGAAAAAAGTTATTTGCATAAAAGTAAAAAAAAATGAATTTTTTGCATTTTTTTGTTAAATTGTTTTTAATATATTTTTCAGTAAATGAATTTTTTAAATTTTTTAAATCAGCTATTTTGATAAAAATCTAATTTTCTACAAAATTTTTCCTATGCTTCGTTTTCGAGATATACTCAAAAAACTGTAAGGGTTGCATTTTCCCTATCTCAAATTTCCACCCTCTAATTTAATAGCACGCCGCGGTTTTTTCATTCTAAATAACCATTTCCGTTGTAGTTCCATACCATATGACATAGTCAATAGCCTTTATCAAGTAAGTGACTTGACTATTCTGAGTATACAGAGTAACTCATAAGTAGTGTCCAATAATTTACCACTTGATTTTATTGCCAAAAATAAGAATATTTTTTCATATAAACATTGGTCGAGAAATGCTTCCTATGGAAGCTACGCCCCCGTAAATTTGGCCTCAAAAAATTATTTTTTTTTTATATTTCCGTAATGGGTTGAAGGAAAATTATGAATTTTGAAACCATGAACGCTTATTAAAAGTCGAAAATTTGGCCTCAAAAAATTATTTTTTTTTAAATATTTCCGAAATGGGTTGAAGGAAAATTATGAAATTTGAAACCATGAACGCTCATTAAATGTCGAAATAGATCGTCATAAAATTTTTCAAAAATTTTGATCAGGGGCGTCTCAATTGGTGGGGCCGTCGGCTAAGATTTACCCCAATTTTTTTGCTTGTTGAAATTTTCAAATTCAGTGGCTAACATATTATAGACCTTCATTTCCTTTACGAAAAAGGTAGGTACTTTTTATTTCTTTTAAAATTTTCTCAGTAGATCAACGCTAATCGTCAACTAGTTCCAATGATGCCTTTTATTGACGAAGCTGATACATAATTAGCACTCTAATACATAATTTGCATGCATCGTCATCTTTAGATGAGTTTTTAACGGAAACGGCTGCTCATAGCGACTTCAATAAGGTGTACATTTCTTAAGTAGAAAAGATAGATTGTTTTTCTATTCCGAAATGACATACACCGTGGCACAAAAAAGTTTAAGCAATATAAAAGGATTATAATGGTCGCTTGTGGCGCCCTCTGGGAGATATACAGCTAATCGTCCATAAAATTTGAATTTCCCTTCCCAAGAAACCTCCCCATACAAAATTTCATATATATATAATTCAAATTAGTCGAGAGTTATTAAAGAAAATGTAATTAACTTTTTTTAATTTGATTATCCTGTGTCCTAAACGAAGCGTTTCCAGACCTAAGTTCATAGGAAATTTTTCGCTTAAAATTGAACGTAGAATAACGTACTGAAGTATGTACATCTCCTCCTGAAACACCCTGTATAATCACAAATGAGTAAAATGATCAAAATGCTCAATATTGAGTGAAAATGTACTCAATAATTTCCCTCAATGATTCACTCCGCACCTTTATTGCTTTCACTCACACCGATTTTTTACAGTGTAAGGGATACTTCTGAATCCAGTTCATTGATCAAAATTGTGAATTAATGCATACTAAATATTACAAATTTATAAGGGGTCCACGTACAAACCATATAAATATTTTTTTAATTTTATTTTAAAGGCTAAACAAGCTAATTAAAACAATTTCAAAAAAACATTTCTGATAAAAATCTTCGATACAAGAAATCTAGTTTTTTTTATTAATTTTTCATATGGATTTATGTTTTGATCAAGAAATTAACGACTGAACATCCTATTTCAAAGCTATAGACATAAATTCTGGCTGTTCTTGTTGAACGGTCTGTACCTATATTTTGTCATGTGTTAAAAAAATATATTAATTCCTAAACAATAAAATGTCAAATAAATCTTAAATTTCTTGCTGGTATAAAAATATGTAAGGTGCTGTATGTGAAAGAATGCGGTATTCAGTTGAATTTTCCTAAAATATTAAATTCTTTGAGAAATCAAAATGTAATTATTGTGATAATAGAAACGATTAAATGACATGTACAATTGTCGTGTTCATAGAGAAAATGACAGGGGAGAAGCGGTTCTTCGTAATTAACATGTCAAGTAGCTTTTCTTACAATTAGTCTATGTTGACACGACTGCTACAGTTTAAATAGAAACGGGAAATTGGGAAACAATTGAATTTATAAAAAGACATGTCCATAAATCAGAATATTTTTGTTTCGTTCTTGTATTTGCTCCCGATAACTGTCCGTTTTACATATGCTTTAAAATGTACAGAACCCTACTCCCTCCATCAGCCATATTTTCAGATTTATCTTGGAATTTCAAATATTGTTTAACTCTACCTTAACCTTATGCAACCATCGATACAACGCCGATGTATTAAATGTTCGCTATACGTTTCTATTCAAGTCGATTTTATTTGATGCAAGCTAAATCGATAATCCGTTTGTTTTTCTTTATTTAACTTTTATTTATACTTTTATTAATTCGTATCACTTATATAAGATAAAAAACACAGCCTAGTATTATATATACCACGTACCCAAACATTGAAAATATTACTTAAATAGTTTTATTTTTAAAACAAATATAAAAACCTACACATATTTTTTCGAAATGCTTACGTTCTGTATATGAGGTAACATATTGCTCTTATATTCAGTATTCGAAAATATAAAATATACAAAGTGGCAATTAAGTAACAAGACAGAGAAGGATATTAGAATATTGCGATTAATCAAGCTCGTCGAAATGCAAAATTTCTTTTTTTATCTGCCAACGTAATTAAGGAAGTGTTTGAAAATTAGCAAATGTGGATTTTTAAATCATGAAATTGTAGCATTTTAACTCAGGCAATAGATGGCGCCACAATGAACTGACGTCCTAATAAATACTTAAGTTGTCGGAATCTTCCTGAACTAAAATGAATTCTGATAATGTTATTTTAATGTTTTTGTATGCAGTATTTTGTATGTAGTTAAAAGATTTGAAAAACCTTTCTACATTACATATTATAAAGACTGAAAATTATAATAGACAGTGTGTCCACGAAATAGTGGATATTCTCTCAGATATTGGTAGGCCTTGGAAAAATAAATCACAAGGATTAGGTATATAATTTTTTTATTGGGGCTTACCTTATAGAATTATTGAAAATGTGAGTTAAAAATCGATTTGTAGTCTTTCGATAATCGATTTGTAATCTGTCAATAATTTTTAATTTCTATTAATTTTTCAATTTTTCTTTCATTTTTAATAATTTTTGGATAAAAGCTATTTCTATTGATGTATTTAATATTCCCGTGAAGTCAGATAAAATTTGATACTTCGTTTTTATTTTCCCGTATAAATGACATTATACTCTTACAGTATATTCAGTATACTCTTTTCACTTAAAAAAAAGTAAGAAAATATAAAAAACGGCGATAAAAATTTAAAAAAGCAGGCCTATTCCATCTTTTAGGGGTTAGACTACCGAGGGTGCTGTGCTCTCGAACCTCCAAAATAGCTACCAATAAATCTAATAATAATTAACGGAAATTTCTTTAAATGATGTAGCTTTTACACACAAATCATCCAAATTTAATGGAAAACAAAAAAGTTATAAAGAAAAATCAAATTTCAACACTGAATTTCAAGAGTTAACTATACAGGGTGAGCTTAATAGAGAATAATAAAAAAATATGTAACCTTGTGACGTTTTTTTTCGAGTCCTACTCAGATCCAACAGATTACCCACCATTTTCTGGACACCCTGTATTTAGGGGCTGTTTTTAAGTTCTTATCATAATTTTTCCTAACAATCTACGTATAACATTTTCATTTAGAATTTCAAAAATGTTTTTTCTTCAAATTTCAACACTATCTCGGAAATCAGTAGCTTTAGTACACCTACAGTTTATGCAACCAACTATACACATACCGTCATTGAACGTTGCATAAAATTAAATAAATGTGCGCTCCCGTTCATCACCGGACTGTAATTTGTGACAAAACAAATTAATTCTCAGACGGGACAAACTATAACTATTTTTTTAACTCACAAGAGAAATACGCATTCCATTTAACTCCCTTCATACTGTAGGTCCCGGAGGACCCTCACCTTCGTCCAATTTAAAACACAATTCGGGCCATACATCACATACGGCTAAATTGGAATAAAAACGTACGTAATAATTCATGAAAATGTTCCTGAAAACTCTCCTGAAAAGCCATTACATCCTGATAGTGAGTTTCCCGCTCGACTATTTCCGGTGCCGCTCGATAAGCATCGCCTTTTCCCGGGTCTTCAATATTTCAGTCGCTTTCCAGATTCCGCGGGTAAATGTAATGCGTTTTTCGCAGACATGGTTTCCAAAAAACATCGCTGATTCCGACGTGAAATTTGTCCGACAATTTCGGAAATTAATTACGATGAAATTTTTTTATAATACGGTGTAACAATAGTGAACGAAAAAAGTGACGGAATTAGGTAAATTTTTCCGGAAAATGATTCTGTAGTGATCTGAAGGAATTGGGAAACTTGAGACTAACCATAGTTTTTTAATTACCCGTAAAATTTCGCCGGTTGTTCAAGCCAGAGCTTAGGTAGTTTAATAAAAGTTTGCCAGTAATCTTTAGCTTTAAGAAATGTGTCACAGTTAGAAAATTTAAGGTATCTTCCGGTAGAATAATGTTTTATAGGTAAGTAAACATTTGTAGTGGTTAGTACTATAATTTCAATTTACTATTAGCTTTAAAATATGGTTTACCAAAATTATGGGGATATTTAAAGAGCAACATGTAGACTGTATACGTTGGAACATCATGTTCTTCATATGTACCTACAATTCATTAAAAATTAATGGTTAGAATTTCACTTTTTAGCTACAACACAATATAAAAAAATTGATAATGAGGATCAAATATTAGATTATATTATTCAAAAGTTGTTATACACGTGCTAAGAAATTTTCAAATGAGACTGAAATTACTTTGTTTATAGAGTTAATAGGTTTAGACCAGTGCTTAAGCCTTCAAAAATGGTAAAAAGTGAAAAAAAAAAATTATAGTAGGATGAATCCCATTGGAAACGGAAGAGAATATAACAGAAATGAAAAAAAAATAATTTACGGGCGATCTGAGGTCGGGAAGGGGAAGGGGGTGAGTTTTTAAGGGTAAAAAACGGTTTATCTTGATTTCCGGAAAACCTACTAGTGTTATGGAAAAAAGTTAAATGGCAAAGTTGTAGGTAATAAAAAGATCTACAACTTTTGTATTTACACTTTTTTCACATAACCTCAAAATTTATGTGAAAAATTCAAATAACTAAGTTTTTGGTTTTTTATTTTCATCTTTTACAAAAAAATTTTTTTTTTCATGAAATTTAGTGAAAACTTACCTATTTATATCCCAAACACGCTGTAATGTTTTTGATTTGAAATATTTATTTTTTCTCCTTATTTTTACTTAATATCGAAAAAGCACCCTAATTTTCAATCGAAAATTCTCACGTCAAAATCTCTGCTTTTTTAAAAACGTCGGTGGGCTTTTTCTTCGTTGAAATCTCTACTTTCTGATGGTGTAAAAAAAATATATACATTACTATGGTAAGTTTTCTCAGGAAATGCAAAGAAACGAACTAGAATCCGAAATGAAATTTTTTTTCTAATCATTTAGATTCCATGTTACATTGAGAAACAAAAAAATTACAAATCGAAATATACTATTATAATTAACAACCAAATAAGTTAATAAAGTTAATATTTAATAAGACATCTATAATATTTTGAGAAAGTTGTAGAATCTTCTTTCGTTTCTTTGCATTTCCTGAGAAAACTTACCATAGTAATGTATATTTTTTTTTTACACCATCAGAAAGTAGAGTTTTCAACGAAGAAAAAGCCCACCGACGTTTTCAAAAAAGCAGATATTTTGACGTAAGAATTTGCGATTCAAAATTAGGGTGCTTTTTCGATATTAAGTAAAAATAAGGTGAAAAAATAAATATTTCAAATTAAAAAAATTACAGCGTGTTTGGGACATAAATAGGTAAGTTTTCACCAAATTTCGTGAAAAAAAAATTTTTTTGTAAATGATAAAAATAAAAAACCAAAAACTTTTTTTACTCTAATTTTTTTTTAGTAGAAGTAGGCAAAGAAAATAATTGCTGTACAAAAAAACTAAATGAGATTCCCTTCAAATGATGCGTTTTCAAAAGTTTTTGGACTAATATTGACTGAATTATAACCGGTCAAACTTAAATATTTTTTAGATTTTCGTCGTTTTTGACGTAATAATTAATTTTTACAAACATTTTTTCTTTGCTTAATAAAACAAAAGTTTTATTTGTTAATAATAAATAAAGTTTTAATGTCGTGCGGAAATAGAATATTCATCCAGAAAAACAACTGAAGAGCAACTTAAAGAAATATAGATTTTTTTAGAAAGAAATATCCTGTATTTTTTTACAGAAAGTGATACATTACAAAATTTTGCATAATAGATAATCATTCATTTGTTCAGTTTCTGATTTCGTTGAAAATTAATTTCAACTGCGCTTATTTTATGTTTATATTTTGTTTTTATTAAAATATCTTCATGGCGAAGAAGTAAATCGCAATAAAAGTGAATTATAGATCATCCTCTGCACCTGTCAAGCTGAATTTATTAAACAATACTTTTATACGTCATTATCTTAAGGTGCATTTTTATTTCATGCTTATATATTTTATTCCGATTTAAATCAATCTACCTTAAATATCTCTTCAGGCAAATGTTATGTTCTTAGACACATCTGATGTGATTTCATTTAAAACTTATACAACGTGAATGTTGGATGGTATTTCGTAGGAAATATCCAGCTTTCTTTGACGTGAAAACCACTTGAACTATTTCAATCTGAAAGCGGATCATTTCCGGTTAGATGAAGAACACCTCACATTTTTAAATTGTTTGATATCATAAAGCAAAAATGTACATGAGTTTTTAATTCTGGGAATCTCTCCTTGAATACGTTCATTTCGTCGCTCTTGAGATCATAATTATTCGGTATCTGGATCGAGAGTTACAAAATTGAATGATAAAAATGTATGAAGAACAAATTCCGCTTCTACACGGTTTTTGTTTATATTTACTATTTAACTAGTTGGTTTATTGTACTTTTGGGAAAAATAAACAAATGAACATTAGCAATTAAAAAAAAGAAAATCACCTCTGCTCAAATAAATAGAATACAATGTGTGTGGGTGTCAGGAAATTATGACAAAAAAACTTTGATCATTCCAGTCATACAAAATAATGGTACTATGCCACTTTTTCGAAAACTGTTAACGGAGTTACATAATTTCTCAAGTCATTTTTTTATTAACAAATAGTTTGCTATAACATTTAGATGGTCATCTCAGTTTTATTTAACTACATAATATTTTTTCTCTAACCGTCACAAAACTATGACATTTTTTGACTTTCAGAAGTCTCTAAGGTTGACAGTTTCCTTACTGAGAAAAAAATTGGAATCTTAACAACAAAAGTATTCACAATTAAACCTAGGAGCTAAAGTTTACAGTTTTAATCCTTATTTTCAGATGTGAAATCAGATGCTTGGTTTATCATTACCTCTATCAACTTTCAATATTCTTTTCGCAATATTATCTTTATTCAAAAGTGAGTCTTCAATGTAACCTTCCGTTACAGTGCTCGATCTCCATCCTCCATGTCTTTTAAGACAAGTGAGGTCACCACCGCCGTCAACTAAAAGGGTAGCAGACGTTCGTCGTAATGCGTGTCCACTGTACTCTTTCTAGTTGTCCAGCTTCAAAAATTTTGCCACCGACCACCAATGATACTTTCCGCTAACATATCTGAGAAATAATAGACGTTCTACTAATCCAGATGGACGTAAAGCAACATATTTCCGATAAAAACTTAAATAATTGTCTCCCAGCACAGTAAAAGAACGTGGTGTCTTGGTTTTGGTATTGGGAATCTTTATAATTATGGCGGATTTCACATCATCAACATTATCAATTGCTAAATTGACTAATTCATCAGAACGGCATGCGCCTGCAACCCCCAATATTAGGACGACTTACAAAGAGGCATTTTAAATATTTTGTTCTTTTATTTTTAAAGCGTTTATATTCATCATCAAATATAAATTATCAATCCTTTGTAAATACTCGCGATTTTTTCGGTACATATCCCTCATTTTGTCTCTTGAGAAAAGCATGTAACTTTGAATATTTGCTTATATCAATACCCTTCTTTATATCCAACGTTGACCGCAACATTGAATATTGTGACCAAAACATTGACGGCTTCATTTTATTTGATGTTTGAGAAATACACCATCAATACAACTCCGAATACAACTGTTTTTTCTTTGCACCAATCCGAAAAACGTTGGTAGACTAATTCATAAATTTCTCAAAATTTCTTTGGGATAAGATTTAAAGAAACCTCTTTGGCACACTCCAGTATCTCCTTAGGTACAACTAAATCTTCATTAGATTCCATTTTTGCAGAGTTTTTAGCAAATTGAATCACAAACAAATACAAATTAACTTAATTAGCAATATGCCGACATCGATACGTCCAACTTACCTACCTTGTTTTATTCAAATTAGTCCAACCAAATTACACTTGAAGAAAAAAAAATTATTACCTGGACTTTTATAAGTGGAAATGATAAAAGGGCTTATAATAAATCTAAAAAAAAATAAATGCGTGAGCAGGGGCGGCGGAGGGTTGATTTGGGGGGTTGAAAAGTTATGAAAAATTGTATCATTGGGATTTCTGGCGAAAGTTGAGGTCAAACAAAAATGTATCCAATACAGAAGTTGTAGATCAGGCAAAAATCTACAACTTTTGTAGAGGTTACTTTTTAACATAACCTCAAAATTTCCGAGAAAATGCGAAAAACATGTTTTTTTCTGATTTTTTATTTCTCATTTCCGCAAAAATAATTTAATTTTGACGAAACCTGGTGAAAGTATACCTTCCTCTGTCTTAAAAAACCTCATTTTTTTTTAGATAAAAAAATCAAGAAGTTTCTGAGATATTAATTTTTTTTCGGCCTGAAACACTTTTTTTCTAAAGAAAAATTCTACTTAAAAAAATCATCGTACAGAGTTCTGCCGGTAATCATTTTCTTCGTTTTGACATATACTTTTTGATGAAAAAAAAAATCTGTAATAACATTTCAAAAACATGCTCAAAAATAAAAAAACCTAAAAAAATTACTTGCAGCAATGAAATTTTCAGTAATTGTTGTTAGTTTGTTTAAATTTAAAAAAAAATCAATAACTGATTACACCATTCAATTATACGTATCCTCTAATTTAGAATTAAAAATGACTTTAAATTTTCTCATAAAAATAGCAGCGACGTATTTAAAAAAATTAATCCGATGATGTCCCCTCGAAGACCCCTAAGCTGAGCCATCCCGTATATTTTACCGTTTCCTAGATTCTAATGCTATCCCATCCTTATCTTGGACACACTGTATATCTATGAATTCATCAAACTTTAAAAAAAATAAGTACACTCATCGATCCTACGGAAAGAAAATTATTATTTATTTTATTTATTCACTATTCGACTTATGTTTATAGCAATACTGTATAAAAATAGTTTTGGGTCAAACAATGAGACAGTTTTTTTTTTGTATTTCTTCCGTACAATTGAATGGTGGAATCAGTTAT